AAGAAGCGGACCTGCTTCTCTGCGCGCTTTCTCCTTCCCCGTCTGCTGGCTGCGGTTAGACAAGAGTGAAGTGCTAACGAATAGCTACGCCTGGAGCCTACCACCAAGGGAGAAAGCTGCCTTCTGACCAGGAACACCAGGTCCTTGGATGACGTCATTTTGCTTCAAGTCCTTTCGTTACAAGGTTAATGAGAAAAAACCTGATTCGCCGCGGAGCCACTGTCCGTGCGGAGCTCGCCCCAGGTTTGCCTGGATTTTCTCCGAGGAGTCCAGTTTCCTCCCACATCCTAAAGATGTGCACATGAGAGGAATGAGAACTTCCTGTGTGTGTTAAATCACTAAAATGTTGGGGTCTGTTTGTTGTTATAGCGAACAATACGCTAATACATGCAGTTGTTATTCCTAAGGATGAGTGCATTCGCTCACTTACTCGAACATATTCACTAAGCATGTACTATGTGCACATCAGTGCTCCACGTGCATGGCAAGTATGAAGGTGAACGACACAGAAATCCCGCCTTCACGGAATTTCCTGTCCAAAAGGAAAAACAGTAGCCACTCACACAACTACAGTATAAGGCAGTGTGGCATGACAGCCTTGGGGGAGAAGTATACCTACATATATATGTACATATATGTACATATACACATACATATGTATACAGCTCCCTCATATTAGAGGAGTTAAAAGAAGGGAGATGCTAGTTTCATACGGAGGTTAGAAAAAGATTTGGAAGACACTAGAAAATGACCCTAGAAAATTTAAATAAAATTCAGAAGGGCAGAAATGTGGGTCGAGGCATTCCAGGAAAAGATGCAGATGTGAAAGATGCCTTGGAGAATGGAGAGAGCGGTTCAGATAAGGGTGCTGTGAGAAATAATGAAATGATAGACGGGGGCAAGATCACAAACAAATGTGAAGGGTGGCCAAAGTGGTTTGTGCTTTCTTCTTTGAACAATGGAAAGGCACTGGAGATTTCTGAAGAGTCATGGCACCGTCACACCTATTATGCTTTAGGAAGACTAACCTGGCAGATACTGGAGCCAAGAGGCTGCTGTTAACAGTCCAGGGTACTTAGAAGAGTCGCAGTGAGAAGGCACGACTCACAGTTGGTTGAATTTAGGAGATTCGGCAAAGAAAAAGGAGTCCAAGATGACGGAGGCTGTGAACCAGGGTGACTAAGAGAATAATGGAACCGTGCATTAAATTCAAAGAGAAAGTGCTGGTCTGGGGATGGGGGCAACCAGCTCAGTGTTAGATGAAGCGAGTACAGGGTATCCAGGTGGAGACATATACCCTGGAACTAAGCTGTGGGAATTGAGGTCTATAGGTTTGGTTGGTAGATGAACATTTTCAGAGCTATCTACAGTATTAAGTTAACTTAAGTTAAGTTAATTCAGACTTAAGTTAATTAAGTCTGAATTAACTTAAGACTTAATTCAGTCTTAAGTCTCAGAATTAAGACTGAACTGGATTAAAGTAGCCAGAGGGAGAAGAAAGTCAGATTCCCTTAAAATATACGCAAAGCAGGAAGATAAAGAAAAAGCAGAGAGGTGATTGGGGAGGCAGAGATCCAGAGGGACTGGACCGGCAGGAAGCACTGGACCATGTCGAATTCTACAGGAGTCAGCAGAGAAAGGAAGTACTGGTACTGCTCACACAGCAAATACACAACCTCATCTCATCCCCAGACAACCCAATGAAACACAATTCCCAGTTGCTGACCAGGAATTCAGGCCCAACAAAGAACACAAGCAGTGGAGTACACTGAACTTGGATTCTAACCTCGGCCCTGCCCTTCGATAGCTGAAAAACCATAGGAAATAATAACCACAAAGAAAATAATAGTGCCTGGGATTCTCACTGGGTTAGAGAGGGTTGAATTTTAAAATGCTTGTAAAGGGTTCAGTGCAGTGCTGGACATGTAATAAACCCCAGGTAGGTGGAAGCTATTGTTTTGTTTTTAAATAATGAGCAAATGCAGGTTTTTCTCAGCACAGCCTGTTAATGGAAATATAAGTCAGCAAAGACTATTTAGAAGGCAAGATTCTACCACATTTGTAATGCATACACCTGACCGAGCAATTCTGCTTCAAGGAATTCATTTCGTTGAACTGTTCCATGTGTAAGAATGTTCACTGTTGTAATGTTTGTAATAAGGAAAAACTGGAATCGATCCTAATACGGAATGGTTACAGAAATTATCTGTATGATACATCCATGAAATAATCAATGCAGGCCTAAATAAACTGATATGAAAGGTATTTGACATAGCTTACGTGAAAAAGGTAATTTCTCAAAGGAATCCACGTATGATTCCATTGACGATCAAAAAACAAATGAAAAAAAACAAACGGAAGAATAAACACTAAATGAACTCTAAGAAGTGTCAGAAAGTAAAGAGTGGAAAGAGGGCTTTCACCTCAAGCTCTGCTTCTGAGCTGTTTGAATGAGACATACTAATTATAATGTAATTTCCAAAATGTGAGAACTTAAAATGGGAAATGTCAGAAATACTTCTGAAGACACGCCATTGTAACTGGAGATTTAACTCACCATTAGCAACGCAGACAAAAAGTAAAAAAAGATGGAGAACGGGTGGGGGGCGGGTGGGGGGCGGGTGTTCTTGTGCTTCAGCGGACAATGCCCTGAAAAGGGTTGCAAAACTGCGTTTGTCTAGAGAGAGACTCCACTTTTCAAGTCTATGACCCTCAAAAGTTCGTAGGGGAATGACGGGTACAGTAGAACAGATTACCTGCACCACACGATCTTTTCTAGTATTGTTAATCCCTCGTGAAAACAGTAATAAACACACAAAGTATAGGTAAATCAGAAATGGTACAAAGCAAAATGGGCAATAAAAACGGGGCCAGACCTATCTAATTAGCACGGTCAGCGTCCCAAGTCCTGCTCCATTCACGTGGCTGGGTGCAAGTGTGGGAGAAAGGGAGAAAGTCAGCACACTCTCCTCCCTCTGCAGATGAAACCCTGGAGGGCTGGAGGGTGCACCTGTAAGGGTGTGTCCACTGGAGGGACGGATGTGGGTGCCGGCCTGTCCCTGAGCGGCAGGAGCGCAGCAAGGCACAGATCCGGGGGGAGGTCCTGCCCCTGGGTTCACGACCATCTGTCCCTCCCCGGACCCAAACGCGCAGCCTTAGTCCCGTCCTCATTCCCGGCCTCCCCGCCAGGTCCCCTCAACGTGCACGGGAACCCCTGGAGTGATCCATGAGCCTAACTAGGCGCTTCTCCTTCTTGGGAGGGGGCCCGACCTCCCTTGCAGCCCTGGCCCTCTGAGGTCGCTGCCGGTACTCACTGTCCTCGCAGCTCCGCCGTGGACGGGAGGGGCTCTTTCGTGCGCCCGGGCTGGGGCGGTGGCGCCCAGGTCTGAGCCTCCGGCTGCAGGGTCAGCGGGGGCAGCGAGCGGCATGGGAGCCGGGGGAGGCCGGGCGCCGAGCGGAGCCCCCCGCCCAGGCCGGCCGTGGGGCAGGGCGGGCGGCGGCG